CACCTGCACATCTGCCAATGTGGTATACTGCATCCGCTGTACCCGGTGTGGCTTCCTCTACATCGGGGAAACCAAGCGGAGACTCGGGGACCGCTTTGCAGAACACCTACGCTCGGTTCGCAATAAACAACTGCACCTCCCAGTCGCGAACCATTTCAACTCCCCCTCCCATTCCTCAGACGACATGTCCATCCTGGGCCTCCTGCAGTGCCACAACGATGCCACCCGAAGGTTGCAGGAACAGCAACTCATATTCCGCTTGGGAACCCTGCAGCCCAATGCTATCAATGTGGATTTCACAAGTTTCAAAATCTCCCCTCCCCCTACCGCATCCCAAAACCAGTCCAGCTCGTCCCTGCCTCCCTAACCTGTTCTTCCTCCCACCTATCCCCTCCTCCCACCTCAAGCCGCACCTCCATCTCCTACCGACCAACCTCATCCCGCCCCCTTGACCTGTCCGTCCTCCCTGGACTGACCTATCCCCTTCCTAACTCCCTACCTACACTCACCTTTACTGGCTCCATCCCCGCCTCTTCGACCTGTTTGTTTCCTCTCCACCTATCCTCTCCTCTATCCCTCTTCTATCCGCCTCCCACTCTCTCCCTATTTATTTCAAAACCCCCTTCCCCTCCCCCTTTTCTGATGAAGGGTCTAGGCCCGAAACGTCAGCCTCTCTGCTCCTATGATGCTGCTTGGCCTGCTGTGTTCATCCAGTCCTGCACCTTGTTGTCTCGGATTCTCCAGCATCTGCAGTTCCTACTATCTCTGATAAAAATTTGCAAAGTGATTAAAGTGTACAATGTGGAGCAATCTTTAAATTCAAAACTGACCTCCAAAGGTTGTCAGTGTCTTCCAGCAACTTCCCTCCAATTTCAAAAATTCTTCAGGCTGTCCCAAATGGGACAGAGTTCGGAAAAATTTCCATTTGAGTCTAAAATGCCTGGAAGGCCAAACTGTCTAATGTATTCTGCAGTCATTACTGGTGTTAATAACATTGGCATTACACTTTCCATTAAATTTCCATGTTTCATTGAAATATTTTTGATATTAGATTTTATTTCTGTTTATGAGGAATGGGGTTGACTCAGTAAAATTGTCTCAATTTATCTTTCATTCTGTACTGAGAAATAGGGTTTTTAATTTTTGATATCACCTCTAAGTATTACGTAATTTAAGATTAGAATGTTTTTGTACTTGTGCAGCCATTCATTTGTGTTTTCATTTAAGGAAGCAGAAGTCCTCTACTCAAGACATTTTTAGCTTAGAGGAACTGAAATTAAGAATTCAAGAAACATTGTGGTTAAATACGAGAAGCAGTTGATGTGGCTATAAACTTACAAATTGAGGGAGGGGAGAAGGAGGAAGTCAGCACCATGGGTTGTGATAGCTATTACAGAAACACGGCTGAGGGAGGGACAGGACTGGAAGCTCAATATTCCATAGTTTAGATGCAATAGGAAGGATAGAAAGGGAGGCAAGAAAAGGAGGTGTGGCATTTTTGATTAAAGAAAACATTACTGCTGTACTTAGACCGGATATTCCCAGGGGATCGTCCTGTGAAGCTATATGGGTGGAAGTTAGAAATAAGAATGGGATGATCACTTTGATGGAATTAAACTGGAGTCCACCCCCCACCCCCTCCGCTCCCCCCCTCCTCTCCGCCTGATAGTCAAGAACAAATATGTAGAGAGATCTCAGATATGTGTAAGAATAATAGGGTTGTAATAGTGCGGGATTCTGACTTTTCAATATTGCCCTTGTGTTAAGGGCTTGGTTGAAGAGGAATTTGTTAAATGTGTTCAAGAAAATTTTCTTTATCAATATGTAGATTGTACCTACTAGAAAAGGAGCAAATCTTGACCTTCTCTTGGGCAATGAAGCAGGGCAAGTGAGTGAATTGTTAGTTGGGTGGGCACTTTGGGGCAACTGATCATGATTCTACTGGTTTTAAAATAGTT